TGTCTGCTTTGTATGTGTTTTTAGGTTCATTTTTTAAGGCAGGATTGGAGTAAATTAATCTATGAGACCTTGAGTGTGGTCAAGCTCATCAATCCAAAAGGTTTGATCACCTGAGTCCAAAACTGTAATTAGATTTCAAATAGGTGAAGAAGTGATGAAACTAAAGGTTTGTATTTGAAATGAAAAACTCAGTGCCGTTCTATGAGCTGATATGTTGTGGTTAAAATAAGTGGACCCAAGAAAGTACAGTACTCCATCGATTTTCTGGCAACTGATTGTAAGGCACCTCCTTTAATCCAGACAAAATTACAAGAGCACACTTGAAATTCCCGTGACCGCCAGACTAGTTCACTGGGCTTCCACAGATGGCATTGGGTGAGGCTGGTGCCCTTTCGGAAAGGGCTACTTACATTTTAAGTAGGTACATCACTATTGTAAAAATGTTCTTATAAATATTAAATTAGTGGATCAAATTACTTCAAGTTTTCCATGAATGTTGCCAGTATATAGTTTAACATGTTAGTAGTAATCCTGACAGCCCTCAACGTCCAGACCTTTGTGATTAGCTCTACAATTCCAATAAAATTCTAAAATTTGCCACTTTGAAAGTGGTAATACTGCAACATTCTTTGTAAGTAGAGTAATTAATAAACCTGTATTATTTATAGCTGTACTAATGTATTTCATTAATCATTTAATTTACATTGAATGTTTGTTTTATTTAAGTTTCTAGCAGTCCATGGTACTTTAGAGATACAGGAGGGGTATAATTAGTGGGTCACGGGTGTATTGTTGAATTATTATTACGTGACCTCTGTTAGTCCGGCAAGGCTCTGGAACTAAGGGTGCTGGAAAATCGGTTGTGTACCTGTACTATATTTCTTGTTTTTTACGTGTTCTCTATTTATTGTTATAAAAGTTACTAAAATATAAAAAGTAGAATGTTATTAAGGAAGCTAACGAGTTAGCTAGAGCCAAGTAATGAACCGTTAACACGAGTATTTTATTATCCAGTTGTTTAATCCGAGTGTTTTTAATGTAGGAGACGTTCGTTGGGAGGTGGTATCGCAGGACTTACCAATGCCCAGTTAGCAGAACATTATAAAAACTGTATCAAACTTTCATCTGAGAATGTAAGTACATAAGTTACTGGTGTTCCTATTGGGTGAGAATGTAAGTACATAAGTTACTGGTGTTCCTATTGGGTGAGAATGTAAGTACATAAGTTACTGGTGTTCCTATTGGGTGAGAATGTAAGTACATAAGTTACTGGTGTTCCTATTGGGTGAGAATGTAAGTACATAAGTTACTGGTGTTCCTATTGGGTGAGAATGTAAGTACATAAGTTACTGGTGTTCCTATTGGGTGAGAATGTAAGTACATAAGTTACTGGTGTTCCTATTGGGTTTGGTAGATAAGTTGTAGTCAGCATTTAGTTAAAGTTCAGAAACCATCACCTACTGTACACTTCATTGATGTAAAGATGTTGTTCTTTCCATCTGTGCTAGTTTTCTCGATTATTCCTCCAAGCCTTTCTTCTCGAGCCGAACTAATTAACTCTTCACTTGTATTTGTTTATCAGGAAGACTAACTAAACCATCTACAGAAGAATAACTGGATGACATGAACTTCTGTTTGTTGTAACACATTCACATCTGTATTATCTGTTGTAAACATTTATTTTAAGTTGTTAGTAACTTGTAACGTGCGTCTTTGGATCTGAAGATGACTCTTACACACCAATATTGTTATTGTGAGGGATTTTATAGCCACTATATTATCTTATTCTTGTTATCAAAACCAATAAATTTTTATTTTTTACCTTTTTAGCACATTTGAAAAAGTTTTTTTTCGTAGTTACCTGTATGATGCATCTAGATAAGAATTAACCAAAATTTGTCAAGAATTTTCCAATGGGCTGAAATTTTACAGTTTTAATTTCTTAGAAAAATTTGTAAAGCTGATCATCATATTGGATTTAACTGGATTTTTTCTTTTAGTTTATTCACGATACTTAAACTGGTTTAGCAGTATTATTAACTGTTTTTGCTAATACATTAGTAATTTTTTTTTTTCATTGAGCCTGTCAAGAAAATTATAAGTATGAAGTTAACAATACATTATGGAGGACTATAAAAATAGATATAATTATAATATGAACCTAAATTCTTGTTTTGTTTATTTACATTTCTTTAAAGAAAGGTTTGTAATGCTTGATATGTTGCTTTCCCTTTAACAGAAAATAACCGTGAAGAATGCATTTGGATTACACTTGATCGACTACATGGCTGATGTTTTAAAAAATAGGGATGGAACAACAAACTTTCAGGTAAGATCTTAATTAACTAGAAGTATACTTTTCATACCAAGAAACAATCCAAGGTTACAAAACTGTTGTAAACTTGAAATAACCACAAGAATTCATGTAGTAGTTCCTGATTACAAGGACTGTTGTAAACATGAAATAACCACAAGAATTCATGTAGCAGTTACTGATTACAAGGACTGTTGTAAACATGAAATAACCACAAGAATTCACGTAGTAGTTCTTGATTACAAGGACTGTTGTAAACATGAAATAACCACAAGAATTCATGTAGCAGTTCCTGATTACAAGGACTGTTGTAAACATGAAATAACCACAAGAATTCATGTAGTAGTTCTTGATTACAAGGACTGTTGTAAACATGAAATAACCACAAGAATTCATGTAGCAGTTCCTGATTACAAGGACTGTTGTAAACATGAAATAACCACAAGAATTCATGTAGCAGTTCCTGATTACAAGGACTGTGTTACACCTTGAAATAACCA